ATTTAATTTTTTATAAAAGCAATTTGTTTTTTTGTGGTTTGGGTTTAGTCCAGGTTTTGCCAGCAAGTATAGCAACAATACACAAATATTTCAATTTTACCAATCCTAATATTAAAATAAACGAAACTAGTAATACCTCATTTTATTATACAATTTAAATTCCAGACAAATTTTTCTAGAAAAATTTTTTTAAAAAATATTTTTATTTAAAATTAATCGATTTACATAACAGGAATGGCAATATCAAAAAGGAAGTACAAATAAATATAGTACGTACGTACGTAGCCATTTCTTAACGATTTACATAGATTAACCTTTAATGGTAATCTCCGAATTGTGTTAGTGTCAAACTACCGTAGAAGCCATTGATTTTAAGCTAGACAAATTAACATTTCTAATACTTTTTTTATCCCTAGTGGAACATAAACAATAGTAAATAAGCCAGAGAGTAAATAAATTTTCTAGAAATTTTCAGTATGAAAAGAACTTGTACCTAGATAAATTATCTATTAACGGGAAAAGCATTGGTTAATCAATACAATTCTTATGTGGTCTCAGCACCGATTTAATGATAAGCTTACCTCATTAGTTTAGCCAATAAAATATGTATGGTAATACATCCAACTATTAAAGAAAAATATAAAACTTACGTAATAACCAATTTCTTTTACGAATAAGTGGTGTAAATCATAATTAATTTTGGTTAAAATTGTTATACGTAATGGATCATAAAACTTTTGTTTGAATAAATTTGGTTGGATTCAATTATTTTATTTTTAATATTCGTAAATTTATTGACATTAAAATCATTCGGGTGGGTAAAAATAAGTGCATAGAGTTTTAGGTGATTTTAAATCATAAATGAGTCGGTTGTAATTAAAAAAAAACCCCTTAAAAAATATCCGAACCTATAAGATGATAAAAATGTAGTTTTGTAAACATATGTAATTATTTTTGATGCCACTAATTTTGAGTTTGAGCATAGAATGATAAATTTTGAAATTAACACAATGAAAGAAAATAGAATTAATCTAATTAATCTAAAAAAAAAACTCTCCACATTATATACATTTGATTAAAATACAATAATTAAGGAATTATAGTAATAAAATTTGTAAGCGTTATTGAATTAGAGAAATAGTAATATTAATGTAAACAAATGATTTGTGAATTAGTAAATTAAAAATTAAACGTTGGGTAATTCTTATAATAATTAATAGTGAATATGCTACGAATATTAGGAGTAACGATTAAAAAATATATTCAATTCATCACAAATAATTTTGGCCATATACTAGAAAAGAAAAATAAAAGAAATAAAAGTTAATAAGAATTCGTCAAAAAAATATATATATATATATAAAATTTATAAAAATATACCATTTCCAATACGTATCGATGCCTTTATAAGTCGCCAAAAATCCGTCCTTCTTATTTTGTTGGCAAACCTTAAGAAATTCTTCAGATGGGTTTGCAATCTTAGAATTTTCATTCCAATAATAGCATATGCGTTGTAAAGTCTTTGGTTGTGTTTTTAGAAAGAAATCCCAAGAATATATTGAAAATTTCCAATCAACAAAGTCCAACCTTCGTAATCTAGTAGGAGTGTGACTAAGTAATTGATATAATATAATATCGCTATTATCATCATTCAATGTGTCGGGAACAGCACAAAGCTTTAAATCTTTTAAATGCTCGCAAGATTCCAGTAAACGATCAAGTTGAGGATCTGTGCGTGAAATTGGTATCGAGCAGGATTTCAAGTTTGGACATTTATTAGCGATCGTGCATATCAGCAAATTACATATTCTTGTATCTTTGATTCGAGAGCCTTCTATTGTAATTTTTCGTAATTTTCCAATAGAATTATCAATCAAATTTGATAAATATTCTAAACTATAATCATGCTTGCATCTAAACTTAAGCTTTGCTAGATCACGAAGTATAGGTATATTTGCAGAAGTCAATGATTCTATATGTTCACATGATTGTTCTTTGATGCATTGAAGTGTTAATTCTTGCAAATTGACAAAATCAGATAATTTTACCAACAACGAACAAGAATTTAACAAGTGTAAACTAGTTATAAAATGAGCCTTCTTCGAAAGTTCATAACCAACACCAGGAAATTCCCAATATTCTTGTGGTGACATACGATCAAAGTTTTCGAACCAAACTTTTTCTAATTTTTTTTGAGTGCTTAACAAATTTGCTAATGTCTGCGTGTTGTAATTACCCATGATTAAGATTTGCGTGATATCGGTTGTAAGTAATGAAAGTTGATCGAAAATATTGTCCATTACAGGTTTATCCCTACACTCCAGTCCTTTTAATGAAGATAAACAATTATGTTTTGGATTTAAACTTGCTAAAACTTCACCCAACTGACCAAAAACGTCCACCTTTGAATAATCATTAATTCGAAGTATATAAATCTTTGGTGATTCTTTAAGAAAGAGGGACAAAAGTTCAGAGCAAACCAAACGAATCTTATCTTGTGGTGGCATCGATGATGAATCTAAGATATTGGAACTGTTACATAACTTTTTTCTAAATTTTTTAAAACGTTTAACGACTCTCTTAAGAGGACGGAAACTAGGTTTACTCTTGCTTTGAATCCATTTCATGACTAACCAATACAAAAATTCTAAATCCAAACAGCGTAAATACATGGGATAATTAAATGTTGTCGTATATGAAATAGATGATACATTAAATCCATTTCTTTCAAGTTTGACTATAGATTCTCGCGGTAATGAGGCAATATACGTATTGATTAGTGTTGCTGGCTGCGTAAAAGATGGTTTGGAAAAAGGCATATTAAAGAATCTAGCCCAGGGATCTTTCCATAGAATAGGGACAGATAGTTCACACCAAAGTCTATTAACTAATAGACAAGAATGTAAAGATTCAGTATCATGTCGAAGATATTTCAATACCTCATGGATACAATCCACGTTGGTTTGAAACGTCATCTTTTTTGATTATTAAGTAGAAAAATTATTCAGGAAAAAAAAAGTACGAATTTTAGGTAAATATAGCATGAGAAAAAGTAGGGGGCGCTGTTGTGTGTTGATTGGCGTGCATCAATTTACAATCAATATATTCGTCATATTGTTGAACTTAGTCACATGGTTAGTTGCTTATTCGCTGTGACGGAATTAAAGTTGATCTTTGCTTTTAGGGGATCGATTAAATGCCGTGTAACCTTATAATTAGCTAACCATAAGCGGATATGAGAAACTATATATAACTGATCTTGTTTCTCAAATTTCTATTATTTGGCGACCATCAAATAATAACGAACATTGGGATTATATAAATTTCCAATAATGTACCTTTTGACTGAATATGAGATTATTAGAAAGATCATTGGAAATAAGGTACGTGCGCAATTTATACGTATCTGTCAACATGAATAACAATGCAGTACATACTATATAAAGATTGTTGAAGGTAGACCTTGGATTATGTTGCAAAGTTTTTGAATAGAAATAGTAGGTAAATGAATTGTCGATATTATGTAAAGCAATGACTATTATTTTGATAGCATCCTAACTTTCTATGTTTCTTCTAAAGATGCTTTTCAAGAATATTCTAAGTACACTATAATTGTATTTGGGGACGACCACAGCAAAAGGTGTCAATGAGGCAAAAATTTTGATTCTGTAATTTTATAAAAATTATATGCCTATTACTCTAATTCTTTAAGAAATTATATTTTCAAGAAAAAAAATTTTTTGACACATTACCACCTTTTGCTGTGAGGTTCCCATTTAGCAACTAGAAAGGTTATCAGAATATCGTGAAAAAAATCGTCACTATTTCAGACTCATGAAAAATTAATGATGCAATGTAAATTTTGTGACCAAATCTGAGACAAGCTTGATAAACAAATTCATTTGAATCCATTTTTAGATCTATCTATTTGTTAATAATCTACAGTGTTTCTATGCGTAATGTAATGAGAATTTTGATAGATTATTTAATGTTTAATATAGCGTAATATTTGAAGACTTATTTGTAGATACTTTATAATTATAGAATAATACAGAATAGGGGAAGGAATATGTTAATATGCGAAGATTATAAAAAAAATCGGTTGCTTCGTAATTTGGACTTAAATCATAAACGTTTTCTTTTTTAATATCGATATAAAGACTCATATCAAACATGTATTTTTAACGATCAAGTATTACAGTAATAGACAATGATAAGCCGCGAATTTGTCGTTCTCTGACTTAGAGATCACGAGACCGACATTTGTTTTTGTGTCATGACTAAGCTTCGTTGTTAAGATCTCGAGATCATTGTCCCAAAGTGTACGTATGTCAATGATATCCTATAAACAATAATCATTCTAGTAGTACATGTAATACAAATAGTGGTTGGCTAAGTTAATTTTGTGAAAGCGGTATGTTACGCTGAATTCGTATAATTGCCCCTTAAATTCTTGTTAGTCTGGTTACCGTTACATTTCAGATTTGATCATGTAATCTGCACAGTTTGTAATATGCCAATTACCAGGGGCATGCATAGTATTATTTCGAGAATGTATAAAAGTGTTAATTAAAATTTTGAGTAAAAGCGACATATAAATGTATTTACGTTATTGTTTTGCCACAGGTCATGAAGGTGAATAATAAGTCGGGCTAATTATATAAATGTGATATATTTTTCATGTTACATGAATTATTGCCAAATTTTTTATAAAATGTAGGCGAATAAAGTACACATGATAACTGAGTATATAGTAAAGTACGGAAACGCAAATTAGGACGGGACGTGTAGAAATCATGATAGTACGTACAGTTTGTAAAAGAAAAATTCATCAAACCAAAGTTACTTTTCCTATTACCCTAACACGAAAAAGAACAATAGTAGTTCGTGCTTAAATAGTGTTTCAAGTCGATATAGCATTAGTCGACTAAGTTGGTCTGGTTTTTTTAAAAAAATATCGGCTTAGTCGACTATTATAAATGGTTTCATAACACCAGAATTAATTATGAAAACAGCTGTAATTTCGGCATGATCGGTGTAATTTTTACGTGTAATATTTATTCTGCAGATAAATTTATTATTATTATGTTGACACTAGTGATGCGGTAGAATCGTCCCAATGATAGTCGTCACATTACCGTAACTTGCCGTAACTATAGCAAGTAATATAGT